TGGGATGAGGGGGGCCTGGGATGAAGTAGGCCCAGCTGGGATGGGTGCCCTGGGGTGGGGAGAGCCTGGCTGGGTTTGGATGGGGTGGCAGCTGGGGGGAGCCTGGCCCAGTGAGGCTAGGCCTGATTGGACTTGGTGAGTCAGACCTGGGGGAGGTGAGTTGTCCCAGCAAGGTGAGGCTGGCTCTGACTGATGCCTCCCCCCAGCCTACCTCTTCTGCTTCCCCCCAAGGTATTCTTTGATCTGCGGATCGGTGAGGAGGATGTGGGCCGCGTTGTCATCGGGCTCTTTGGGAAGACAGTGCCCAAGACAGTGGAGAACTTTGTGGCGTTGGCCACCGGAGAGGTGAGGGGCTGCCTGGCTGGGTCTCACCCAGCCCCTGCTTGGCACCCTGGGGCAGAGCTGGATGGAGGGAGCTTTAGTCCGTCCCTTTGCCTCATTCCATTTTCTCCCTCCTCACCCCAGAAAGGATTTGGCTTCAAGGGCAGCAAGTTCCACCGTGTGATCAAGGACTTCATGATCCAGGGAGGAGACTTCACCCGTGGAGATGGCACTGGAGGTAATTTGTCCCACACAAGCCCAAGGATCCTGTCTTGGACAGCCCACTGCTGTCTTCAAGCAAGAGAGCAGCCACACTCCCAACCCACTTCCTGGCTGCTCCCAGGGACCAGTGTGGAGCTGGAACGTGGTGCCACAGTGGGAACAAGTGGACACAGGGTTGATAGAGACCTGGTCTTGGAGCAGAGCTGGAGCTCCTCGCTAAGAAAACATTCCTCTGCAGCAGTTGGTCCCTCTGCTAGGTGTCCTGGCTGCCAGGACACATCAAGTCCGGTAGCAGCAGAGTCCAAATCTTCCACCAGCACTTGGCAAACATGAGTAAAGTTGACTATACCAGCTTGTAAGCTCTTACCCTGACCTGCTCCTTACCATGCCACGTCAGCCTGCATCTGTACAGGGTCAGATCTGCTCTCGTCCCTCGGGGGCCTGACCCTTCCTACCCAGCATGTTGGGGTGCTTTTAGCTCCCTCTGGTGGCTGGTAGCTCATGGTTCCCTGTGGTGCTAGTTGTTAGTTCCCCCTCTAGATGTTCTCTACCCAGCCTGTGGAGAAAGCCACCATCATCACCCCTACCAGGACATATTCCCATGAAATCAATGCACCTTTTTTTCCCCTCCTGCTTAGGAAAAAGCATCTATGGGGACCGCTTCCCTGATGAGAACTTCAAGCTGAAGCACTACGGCCCTGGCTGGGTGAGCATGGCCAATGCTGGCAAAGACACCAACGGTTCCCAGTTCTTCATCACCACGGTGAAGACGCCGTGGCTGGACGGCAAGCACGTGGTGTTCGGCAAAGTGCTGGAGGGCATGGTAAGGGGGTGATGGGTGGTGAGGGGGTGATCGATGCCTGGGGGGAGAGCGGGACCGGGCAGCAAGCTGGCTGGAGGCAGAGTGCTGTGCGGAATGGGCTGGGAGGTGGCTTCTGGGAAAGGAACATGCTGAGTTGGCTCTGTCCAGCGTTACCCTGCTTTCACACCTCCCCAGGACGTGGTGAGGAAGGTGGAGAACACTAAGACAGACAGTCGGGACAAGCCCCTGAAGGACGTCATCATCGCTGACTGCGGGACCATTGAGGTGGAGAAGCCATTCGCCATCGCCAAAGAGTAATCCACCCTCCCAGCTCTGCGACATGGTGCGGGGCTCTGCGCTCTGCCAGGGACCCAACCACGAGGAGCTGAGGGCCTGGAGCTGCCCTGCTCCCCACTCTGTGCGTGTTCCTGGGGGTGGGTGAGCAGCAGCAGAGTCACTGTGCCCCGCGTCCTCCCGCCCCAGCCTCTCCCTCCACCCTTCCAGCGGGCAGGACGGGGCGCTGGCTCCTCTTTCCATCACTTTTCTAAGAAGCACATGCACCAATAAATGTGACCAATGTGTTTTTTAAAAAGTCTCCTCTCTTCTCTCGGAGGATTTCTTCCATCTCCCTCAACCCTTCCACCCCTTTCACCTTTCACCCAGCCGTGAGTGGTGCTGCGCTTTGCTCCGTGTTTGCTTTGCGGAATTACAGAGTGCAGACATCTTTTTCCCATCAACCCAAGTGATTTATTGCACCAAAATTGTGATGCTGAGGGGTTTTCCAGCACAGTTCAGGGTCCAACAGCTCCTACCACAACCCCAAACCCTGGCAGAGAGCTCCTGCTCTCCCTTTGCAGGCGCTTTGGATAGTGGTCGGTGAGCCACGCTGGCCTGGAGAGCACCTCTGGCTCGTACCTTGGGTTCTCCCACCCAGTTTTCCTGCCCCATCCCAGCAGGAAGGAGTTATTTTTACCACAGGGATCCTTTCTGCTGCCCGGCCGCTCACCACTGCAGCCCCGGGTGCTGGCTGGGTGCTCCACAGCCCGGGGTGGGG